GCTGATATCTTTCAAGGGCCACTTAACCTGTTAAGAGTTCAATTATAATCTTTAACTTGTCTCCTCACACAAACGTTCCTTGTTCTTAAAATGTTGAAAGAGCACCGGCCACAATACCTAGTCTAATTGAAACCTAATTTTAATTAAAACAATGGGAGTATACGAGGATTAAAGTGAACTATTGAGGGCTTGGACATGAAGCTTTCATATCAAGGTTGAGAACCATTTCAATATAAAATCCGAAGCTATTAAGTAAAGGCCCATGAATAGTTTTATTGTGATTTCTAACTACAAAACTGGATAGCTGCCTCAATATGATACGCCAAAAACATAGTCCAATTGATGGTCATAAGATAGTTAACTTGAGCTAAGACAAACTTATGCACGAATGTTATTTTATAGTCTAAGATAGCGGATCACTGTAAAACTTATGGCCTGTTTCGTATACTAATGGGAGTGGAACCCATTTTTCATGTAAGAAAAATGAAATGTGCAGCATCTATCATGTCTTTGTTGTTATCATTTTATTTACCATTGGCTATCCTTTATGAGTGTTGTGCAGGATTCTTACTTTGCATCTAGTTTAATTATTGTTTCCTTTGCATACCTATTATTTTGTGTATCTAACAACCATTTTAACGTACTTTACATTTGACATGAGAAAACTTTGGTAATCTTAACTTGGGAATGCCTACACTTTCTTCTTATGCTTTCTCATCACTAGCATTCCCTAATCCTTACACAACTGTTGCTACAATTTTAAGACATTATCTACCTGTACTGCCACAGGTTGGATGAATGGTTTGGAAGTGAGTTCAATCGAAGTAGACACTGCTCGGGCTTGCCTGATTCTGTCGGTCGGAATTTCTACTCGTTACGTATATGCGACGTACAAGAAAACTCCTGTGACAACTAGTGAAGCTGAAGCTTGGGAAGCAGCCAAGAAATCTTGCGGAGGCTTGCACTTCCTTGCCATCCAAGAAGACTTGAACTCAGAAGATTGTGTGGGTTTTTGGCTTTTACTAGACTTGCCACCTCCACCTGTATAATCATGCTTGAAGATTCACTGGACAAAAGTATAATCACAGCATTATTGTTTATTTGATCCCAGAAGTATAGGAGTTCCAGTTCTATCCCAAATACTACATTATCTGATCAAGATATATCTTTTTTCAACATTGCCATTTTTTCACTAGAGTTTTCCATCCTGCAATAGAATTTATCTTGGGAATATCAATCTGTTGATGCTCTATTATAAGAGTAGGATGGCCAATTTGAAATTGCATTTCTATTAATTGGGGAAGCACTTGGACACTTGATAATACTGAAGAAAAGTGAAGGTGAAGATAATATGAACATGAATTTTCCCTCCAGTCCAAAATATAAACAACTTTCAATTATAATCCCCATATCAATAAAATTCAATTATATCCTCATTCACATGAAAATATATCATAGCTTTTCTTTTTAATCCTTAGTCCCAACTAGCAATAATGAATTAATTTAAAAAGAGATTGAGAATGAGAAGTAAATACGAAAACAGAATGAGAAGTAAATACGAAAACCAAGGTTGATAAGTATAATGGGTAAAATGGAAAAAAAATAATTTTATAAATGCTAAATTGGTTATATTTTAAACTGAGATTGGGGGGAAAATGACTTGAATTTTGAATTGGAAGGAATACAATAAATAAAATGTATGGCAAGTCATACCATTTTTAATATGTGAACTGCAGGGTTTATTCTTCAAACTTTGCCACAACGTAGTCGACCTTGTTTTCTACAATATTTATTGTATTTTTATTATCATTAGTTTTTATCTTTTTTAAAATTGTAATATATCAAAGTCAAGCTTGCAAATTTATTATTTACAATCATGTTTATTATATAAACTTCTCCTATTAAAAAAATATAAGGCATTTTTAATCAAATTTTATCTTCTAATAAAGTAATTACTTGCCTTCAAATTAACCCTATCTTTCTATATTTAACCCTATTTAATAAGATAATTTATCCTAAAATAAATATAAAGTGATTTATTTAATAGAAGTACTTTTAAAAAAAATGGCAATAATTATATCTTGAGAAACTAAAAATGCCTTATATTTTTTAACACTTAATCTCTCAAAAAATGCCTTATATTTTTTAATGAAGGAGTATATATGGAATGATGATTTATAATTATTTTATTTTTTGGTCAATATTTATAAATATTTTATTGGAAAATTGGGTTTCAAGGTGTCTAACTCATGGTATAATAAAAATTAAGGTTAGTTTTTTTTTTGGACAAAAAAATTAAGGTTAATTAACTTTTGAGGATTCATCAAATCCAGTACATGCTTTCAAGTTTAAAGACAATTTAGAGAAATACTTGCAAATTGCTTACTAGTGATAAAAAAATTCGATCCCATGACTTTTTAATTAAGTTAAATCCTTCTCAAATAAAATAACCTTTGTTGGCTAATATTGATATTACATGGGTCTACTGTCACAAAGAAATATAATTATCTTTCCTTCGATTATCTAGCATATATTATACCAATGTAATTCTTACTCAACAATTTTTTTTTTAAAAAATTGTAACCATATATGGTTAAATATGTAAAGCAAATATCATGCCAAGCCCCAAACCAAATAGAATCTATTAAAATCATACTATAAACAATGAATATCACGAAGCATGTGCGAAACTCTAAAAAAAGCAACCTCCTCCTATGATAAAAGCATGCAATTACTGACACCACAAAATCATAGAAATCACAAAAAAGGCTAGCTGATCACTTGTTTTAAAATGACTTTAAAAGTACAAGTGTGTGCGTTCACAAACAAATATGTAAATGGATGTGTGCTTATGGTCAGTATATATGTGACCATTATGGCCAGTGTATGAACAGGTCTTATCATGAATTTGCATGTTCGTGAGTGTTGGGGGGCTTATATGTATAGCTTGAGATGACAATTGACTTTGATGCCAATTAAGCGTGGTATTTTGAACTATGTCATGATTGTGAGTTATTCTGACAACAATCTTGTATATGTAATATCAAATTTTGAACTTATGGCTTGCTATTGCTATCCCTGCATTAGCATCCTTTTTAGCCTTATAGATAGGGGTGAGCAAAATTTTTATCTATTCAATTTTTTAATTTAATTCAATTTTTTGTTAAGAAAAATTTTAATTGATCGATTCGATTTGGTTTAAGAATTTTTAAATTAAGCAAATCGAACCGACCAAATTATATATATATATATATATTCTTTTTATATTTTTAAAAATATGAATAAATTCTCATTTAGATGAATAAAAAATATTTTTTATCACTTACAGTAGTAGTATTTTTTTCATTTAATGTGATATTTTAATTTTTTATTTTTATAATTTAGTTTTTAATGTAATAGTATTGAGTTTTATTAATTTTCTCATGAATTAAGTCATAAACTTTTTTTTTTGGTTAGGCCTTCAACATCAAGGAAAAAAATTAGATAAAAGAATATATGAACAATTAGATTCCATAGACCCAAATCAAAACTCATAAATTAAATAGAATGATCGAATCGAACTATTATAATTTAATTTGATCATGTATTTTGATTCAATTTAGTCCACATTTTTTATATAATTCAATCAATCAATTTTAGAAAAATTGAAATTGAACTGACCAAATACTCACCTCTACTTGTCGTTATTGCCTTTTTGAGTTGAGTTAGTTTGGTATGATTTGAGTATTAGGGAGATTGAATTTTACACGTGATTTTTTGGCACACAATGACAATTGCCCTCCTGATGACAACTTCAAGCTTTTTTTTTATTATTATTATATGAGTGTATGATTGAATCATATTCAAATATTGTAAGGGTTAATTGAGGATAATTTTTTTAAAAAAATATTTTCTACATTCATGCAAAGTCAAATGTGAGACCTGATGTTTAAATATTCATAATCTTTTGTATTAGAATCAATACATTGGCATGACAACTTCAAGTTATTATTGGGAATAATGGCCAAGCCTAGCAGATGCAACTGTGAGGCCAATTGTTTAGAAAGTGTTTGTTTAGACAGTTTTTTTTTTATAATAAGACCACTCAAAAAAAAATGCTAAAAGATATAAAAATCAAGTCCTGTTAGGTTCCAAGAGAATTTTATATCCTAAAGATGGATGATTAAAAATAAAATGTTTAGTGTATGAGCATATCAATGAAGTTGTTAGCTTATTTGAATACATGGTTAAAAGTGATCATCTAATCTTTCATTATAAAATCCCTAATTTTTTTTTGAAGACTTTTAGAGAAGATATGTTGGATGAACAAAAGAGCTTCCTTTAAATGAAAATGAATATTAATTTTTGTAAATATTTCATTCTAACAAAAATTAAAACCTATTTAAGACTTTTGATTTGTATCTTTCCGGCTTTTATGAGTTTTCTTAAGTTAGGTAGGTCTTAAAAGTTCAATCACTTTAAATTTAGGTTCAATAATATATTTTTGATTTAGATTTCTCCTAATTAATTCTGACTCATTAATGGTAATCTTCCTTATTTTCACTTAAATTTATATTTTGAAATTAAGGTGTCACAACATTTTTCTTTACTTTTCATTTATTCCAACAAAATATAATCTAAAGCCATCCACTCAAATAATATCACTTATTTAAAACATAAAAAATGAATTCTCAATTTTGAAAAAAAATTTAATAAAAACTAAAAAAAATATAATATACATAAAATGAAGAGGATAAAATTTATTTATTTTTAAAATTAACTATCAAATAAGGCCTTAATTTTTCATCCACCAAAAGTTTCCAAAGCCCCTAAGGCGAAAGCTGAATCTTGTCCTGGTAAATGGGCTTGAAATGTTGTTGGAAATTTGGGCCTCAAAGTACAAACTTGGGCTTCTAAATTGGTCTCATGAAAGCCCATTGCAGAACAGAGGTCTCGCGCGCCTATTACAATTGATATCCTGCCACAATCCTTTGTTTCTATTTCCTCCTTCGCCCCCCGACGCTCACAGCGGCCACTCTTCCCTCTTCCCGTCTCATATGACACTTTTATTTTTATTTTTATTGCTTTTTAAAAAAATTATTAAGACGAAGTAATTTTGGGGGACGATCTCCTAAACATCAAAATTCAAATCTAAATCCCTCAATATGGCATTTCACGTTGCCTGCCCAATTACATGGTTACTTCTCTTTTCTTCTCGCGCCTTCTCTATAATATAAACTCTTGCTCTTTCTCTCCCTCTTCTCCTTTTCATTTCCATCTCACAAAGTTTATATTTTTCTGTTTTTTTTTGGGTGTTTCAGTCGCAGAATCTGCTTCTGCTCGCTAGGGTTTCCTCGCGCCCTCCATACATCGAAGGCCAAGCATGAGTTCCTGGACGATGTGGCTAGAATCGATGAGTTTCTCAAGGATCCTCTGGGAATTAGGGCTCCAGAAAGGGAACGGACCGTGCAAATCGCGGTCCCTAAGGTTGTGCCTCCGCCGCCGCCGCCGCAGCGGCAGTTGCAGTCAACGGCGGCGGCTGATGGGGTCCCCGTTATTGATGAGGTGGATGAGGCAGTGTCAACTAAGGCTAAAAGGGTTGCGTTGCAGCGGAAGGGGGCTGCCGCAATGATTGCTGCCGAGGAGTACGCCCGTCAGTTTGAGTCAGCGGATGCAGTGGTGAGGTTTTGGGGGCAATTTCTGGGTTGATGTTTGCTTTAATGTTTGGATTTGTTAATTTATAGCTGTGCATACGTGTGGGTGAATTGAGATGATACTTCGATGCTTTTTCTATGAAATATAGCTGGCTAAATTGTGAAATTTGATTGTTTTGTTTGTGTCCCACATGTTTTTACTACTTCGATTTCCTTTACTCTCAAATTTTGCTGATGGGAGTTTACTGAAGATATATTCACGTGGACATAAAGTTCTTTAGTTTTGTTAAATTTAATTTTTGACGCTGTACTATCAAATGGTATAGGTAATCTTTTTAATTTCATTTTATTTTGGGTCGGTGGGGCAGAGGAGTGTTTTGTTTTGATCTATTAAATTTCTTCTTGTTTGTTTTGGTGCTTGACATGCTGAAGAGGGGAAAAAAGCTTGATACTGTTTTCTTTGCATTGACTCTGATTAGATGTCTGTATCCTGTAAAATGCGAAGTTGAAGAATGGAAATTTGAAGTCACTATCTTAAAATGGCTGAATAAATGATCTTGCATACAATTTTATGAGACTTTTTTTATAAGCTTAAGTCACACGTGTTGAATTTTGAGTGCGTGTAATTAGACTTGCATGCGTGATAGCATGTGGAATTTTTCCTTTTTAACTAAGTTCGATTATATATATATATATATATAGGATGCATCAGGAAATCTTGCAGGAGAAGAGCATGGTCACTTGAATGTCAAAGTCTTTTGCCGAATGTGCAATCGTGTTGAAAATGAAGGAAGTGAAAGAGCTAGAAAAATGCTTTCTTGCAAAAGTTGTGGCAAGAAGTACCATCGGAGCTGCTTGAGAAGTTGGGCTCAACATAGAGGTAAGAAGATATATCTGCCCATATCCTAACATGGTCCAGCTGTCATTTATTACCATTTCCCAAGTATTGTATATTCTTATTCTCTGGGTCTTTGTTGTAGATTTATTTCATTGGAGTTCATGGACTTGTCGTGCTTGCCGAATTTGTGAGGTAATGCATGATGTGCAATGCTGGTGAGCTTGTCCTTTTTTCATGTTGTTTTGTATCAGAGACTTGTGTGTTTTTGAATTTGTGGGTGAAAAATGATGCATCTTTGAATCAATTTGTTATGGATTTTGGATTATTCTTTAATATTAATTTATAATTATTGTACAATACAATTTGAGACATTGATTGAGTGACGGACTTGGCGACAGATAATTTTACACTCAATGTTCTTCTGTCCATGTGATCAGACAGTGGTTCCATCAGGAAAAAAAGTGATCAGACAGTAAGATTACTTGCGAGTTATTGTTGTAGTGGGCTTGTGGGCTTGGTGTTCCCTCCTTATGCCACATCCTGTTATTGTGCTGGCTTAAATTGTTTTTATTTACTCTTGTGTTCCTGCCTTTGAAGCTGCATAGACAATGATATCGATTATTGCCTTCTTTTTGAGTGGTTACAGCTCTTATATGATTAATTGAATATTGGTGATTCTTAGAAGTTAAGCAGCCAGTGCACTCATGTTGCATTTATTTATTTTTAATAATAGTCTTATGATCTAGCTTTTTCTGCCAGGCTTGTAGAAGGACAGGAGATCCAAGTAAGTTCATGTTTTGCAAAAGGTGTGATGGCGCTTATCATTGTTATTGTCTACATCCTCCTCACAAGGTATACTCTGCATCACTTATCAGTGATCTCATAATTAATTTTATATAATTTAATTTATGCTTATGAATGATGCAGAATGTTAGTTCTGGGCCTTATTTGTGCTCAAAACATACAAGATGTCACAGCTGTGGATCCAATGTTCCAGGAAATGGTCTAAGTGTGAGGTATCAATATGCCTTTGTTTTACACTTCACTTGTGGCATTCCAAACATTCATTCTTTCATTTAACCCTCTTGGCATGACTAATTTACCATTTGAGATAGGCCATTACCTTTTCAACCTTTATGTATATATGCAAGCTACATTTTAGTGTATAATACTGTGGAAACTGGTGAATATATCTGTGGACGTAGTTTACACTATTTACAACTTGAGCCACATAATTGACTTCATACAAAATTTATAGATTAGTAGATAGATTAAATAGGAAAACTGAAAAAAAAAAAGTAAATAAGTAGGGAAAAAGTATGCTTTTGAACTTGTTGATATCAAGGAATGAAATTGACAATGATATATTTAGAAGCCAAATTAATGGTTAAAACTCTTTTAACTTCTAGTAGATTTGATAGGAAAAATAATTAGGGTTAGGATTATTTTATTATTATCTTAAGATTTTTTTTTTAAATTAGGACATCTAGATTATCTAGATTGTTTTTTAGATTAATTTTGTTTTGAATTAGGATTTATCTTTTATTTGAATAAAGGATTATCTTATCTTTATCTTTTAGAATGAATAGTTTAGAGTTTCTAGGATTAGGACTAGGGCTCTATAAGCAGCGCCAGGTAATTGGCCTGTAGATCTTTTGGCCCTTTTTTTTTTTTGTGAATTGACACGGTTAAATCCTTGCAGTAACAGACAAATCAGGAAACACACACAGAGTCCTCACACCCTAGTGGTGGATCCTTAAAATTTTTAATACTGAAACTATAATTATCCACTTGATGAGCCAACTAGTCCGCGCAATGATTTGCTTATCTATAAGCATGATCGATGGAGACCTGCTAGTCGCGCGTAAGGTTCTTGATTCTTCTAATAAGATTGATAAGAGGATGGTTTAGTGCTTTTTCACTTTGTATAAGATGAATAACTTCTTGAGAGTGTGAACATTGATATTTCTTTTGGCCTATGGAATGTTGAATAAACTTTTGAGTATTTTTCAGCCTTCTCCCTCCCCCTTTCCCTTCATTGTTTTACATCAAGGTGACAGAATCCAGTAGTTAGTACTTCATACCATTTGAGAAATTTAAAGGAGGATAAGTCTCATTGTTGTTTGAAAAACATGAGTTCCTATGTTGTTATGATGTCTTTCATTAGGTACATTCTCCAAAGGTTGTATGAATGCTCTGGTTTATGTATCCATCATGTTTTCATCCTGTTAGGTAGTTAGTGATTTTTTTTCCTGCAGATCCTGCATGTTGAAATTGAGACATGGACTTACCATTTGGCTTTTGGATTCTTAGGTGGTTTCTCGGATACACCTGCTGTGATGCATGTGGCAGATTGTTTGTGAAAGGAAACTATTGTCCTGTTTGTTTGAAGGTATTGATCTTTGGTCTTGCGCAATTGAAGTGTGTGAAGCAGTTTGTATGCATATATTAGTTATTTTTTTGAAATACTATTTTGAAGTTTGACATAGGGTTCTCTACAGGTTTACGTCCACCCTGCTTTCTTTATAAAATAGGAATTTGTGTGTGCATAACTAAATATTTCTATGTAGACTGGGATGATTATAGGCACAAGAGAAAGTGTAAGGCTTGAAAAGAAATAAGAAAGTAGACTGATTTCACTGGGTTATTTGTAGGTCTATAGAGATTCAGAATCGACACCAATGGTTTGCTGTGATATTTGCCAGCGTTGGGTGCACTGCCAGTGTGATAATATAAGGTTAGGTTACCCGTACTAACCTTAAAAGGTTGTGAAGATCCCCTGATTTTGCTGTGTAATATTTGCAGTTTCAGATATATATTCTGATTGATAGGGTGTTGCATTTTTTTGGTCTATTCTTGCATCTACCCACAGTCACTGGTTATTCTTATTAATATTTAATTAATGTAACAAATAGGTTCTGACTTTTAAAAATATTATTTTATTTATTTTCAATTTAACATAAAAAATAGTTTGGCACATTTATTCATGCAAAATGCTTGCAATAATGTTATGTTGTAGCTTGATAGTTTTCATCCTTGTTGCTTCTAATATTTTATGATATTGAGTGGATTAGCTATTTAATTTTCGGTGTGCAACCATGTATTTGGAGGTTATTGAGAAAGTATAAAAGGAAATTGTTATCATTATCAATGTAAATAGGAAGTTGTGAATTGTCTCTTGTGTGGCTCAGCTTATTCAGTATTTGTAGCTACTTTGGATTTTCGGTTTTGATTGTCTACAGCTCCTGCCTTGAGCAGTCAGCATTTTCTATTTTGCCAATTTTTGCAAAGCACCATCTTTATTGTCTTTCTATCAATGGGCTTCTTGAGATCAGTTATTTATAGGAAAGTTTTGCAGTGATGAAAAATATCTTCAATTTCAAGTGGATGGGAATCTACAGTATAAATGTCCGACATGTCGTGGGGAATGTTATCAGGTATGTGGTATGCTTTGACTCTGTCTCCTTACTTCGTTCTAATGAAAGGAACTCATTGCAATTCCATATTCATAGTTTGTGGCTATTGCAGGTCAAGGATCTTGAGGATGCTGTTAAAGAACTTTGGAAGAGAAGAGATATTACTGACAGAGATTTAATTGCCAGCTTGAGGGCTGCAGCTGGTTTACCAACTCAAGAAGAAATATTTTCTATTTCACCATATTCAGATGATGAGGATAGTGAGCCTGTAAAAGCAAAGACTGAATCTGTGCGATCTTTTAAGTTCTCTTTGAAGAATTTCTCTGATCACTCACCAAAGAAGACAAAAGATTATGCAAAGAAATGTTCAAGCAAAAAGTCTGCCAAGAAAAAGGATTATCAACCTTTTATGACTGGGAAAACTGATCCCAGTTTAGAAGGACATAGTGATGTCAAATCTGTGCATAGCTTGGATGATGATATCCAATCCCACAGACATGAAGCTCCTGATGTTTATTCTTCACCTGCTGGTGGAAGCCTGAGCCAAACTGAAGGTTATGCTAATCAGCCAGGGATTTTGAAACAGAAGTTTGTAGATGAGGTGATGATCAGTGATGAAGAGAGAAAACCTAGAGTTGTTCGAATTAAAAGCAGTAAGGCTCAAACTCTTGATAGTGAGGAAGAGGCTGGAAAAAATGGTGATAGGAATCAGAATGTGAAGGGGAAGAAGTTGGTTATAAATTTTGGGGCACGGAAAATTAATGTCACTAATTCTCCACGGTCTGACACTTCAAGTTGCCAAAGAGATCAAGATCTGGTTAGCACTAATGGTATGTATCTTGATGAAGTTTAATCCTTTTTAACCTTTTGTTCCCCCCTAATTAAAGAATGGGAGATTTTAGGACAGTGTTATGAAAGTGTGTTATGTTCAATTTCTTATTTAAGATTTGCCTCCCATATGCATGGTAATAGCGAACAATCTTTTACACATTATGGAATAAGCTGTAATTACGTTTTAAATGAGTCCAAATGTATTTTCTGGAACATTAGAGAGTCTCCCCCCTCTGTTTTCTTGTGTCTGATTTTTTTGCTTCAAATGTCGTACCAGGCAATGAAGATATTAGCCAATCAGGGAAAGGAGACAAGTTTATGTTAGACAGACATGATGGCATGGCTAGAAATGCTGATGGTAAAGGTAGGGTTTGGTTGCAAATATTTTGGGATTATTTCTGTAACATATTTTGCTAGAACTTGCTGTTTTATCATTGGTTAGCATTTGGAGATCTATTTCATTTTACTTTAGTTGCCCAAGAGAAATAACAACTTCAGCACATGGGACTTGCAGGAAACAGAGTTGATTCTCGTCAATCAAAAGATGTAAAGGTTTCAGGTAGAGAAGGAAATTTGATAAAGCCTGCAAAAGTCAAGGCAGAAGTTTCTGAATTGAACTCAGGCTCTGTTAGGAGCAATATTGCTGATAGGAGTGAATCTGGTCCCATAGATCGACCTCGTATCATGATTGGAAAGCGCCGCACTGAGGGAAGGACTGGTCAAGATGGATCTGTACAAACTATGTCACAAGGTGAGAGGATGTTTTTGGGGAAGCAGTCAGAAGGCAGGTCTGATGCATATGATGAAACAGATGACAATGCTAATCATACACCATCCCATTCTTTGCCAAAAGACTCTAAACCCTTGTTGAGATTGAAATTTAAGAAACCTAGTATCGAAAGTCAAAATTCTCTTCATCGTGAAGATGATAAGATTACAATCAAGGGACAGAGGTCAAAAAGGAAGAGACCTTCACCTTTCATGGAGAAAGTGTTGAACAATGAGGGTGAAGATGTAGCACAATTGCATCAAGATGGTCCGATGGATGAAATCATGGGTGCTAATTGGATATTGATGAGATTAGGTAAAGATGCCATTGGAAAGAGAGTTGAAGTTCAGCAGACATCTGACAATTCTTGGTTGGTTTCTTCTCTACCCTTTTGCATGCATCAACGATATTTCGTAGTTCAGGCCAAAAAGAAAATAATAACATTTGGAAGTTGATTTGGCATACCCTGATTTCACTTCTTTTTTGATTTTATCCTGAACTTCACTTTTATTACTACTGATTTATTGGTTTCTCCTTGGACTCTTCAATATCTAACAAAAGCTCCTGGTGTATGAATGTGCATTTTGTTATTTTAAAAAATTGTGGTATTGACTTTATGGGTATAACATATCCCTTTTCTTTACATACTTGTCTTCTGTTTACTTAATCCTTCAATTTGAAATTTGAGTTGTCTGTTTGGCTTTGGCGTGTTTTTTTCTGTCCAAACTGTAAAGATCCTTTTTCCCCTGCATTTTTAATTTGCCCTTTTTATCCTCCAAGCAAATGAGTCTCTAGATGTGAAAGAAGAAAAAGGAGTATTATGTAGACATAATTGTGTGTTATTCGTTGCAATATAGATCTCTTGAAAAGAAGCCATGCAACTACTATGGTACCTGTATTTATCATCTGATTTTGAGGATCCATACATTTTCCTGAAGTTTGCTTCTTTTGGTTATCTTTTTTTAAATGAAAATTTGATATGCTTGCCTGTAATGATTCAATCAAATAGAATTCTTTTCCAAGAGACATTTGTCTTGCTTGTACGAGCAAAATTATTCTAAAAATTTGATGTGCATTACAGTCAACGTGTTTTATTTTCACCTTTTATTCAGGCACAAGGGATCGGTCACTGATGTAATTGAAGGGACTTCAAAAATATCTGTTACCTTGGAGGATGGCAAGGTGAAGACCTTGGAACTCCGTAAGCAAGGGGTCCGTTTTATTCCTCAAAAGCAAAAGAGATCAAAAGCTTGAAATGCTCAACCATTTCATTCTTGGTTATTCTTTAACGTGGGGACTGTCTATTCTTTCGATTTGAAGAGACAGCTTCATCTCTATGGGGGCCCCTTGTTACTACCTGCCATTCGGTGCTCTATGTGATGCTGATTTTTTGGCTGAAGCATTTTCTTCTGGAACTATTTCAGTTTTCCGGGAAGAAACAAGCTGCTTCTGTTGAGGTCCTTTCTAAAACCGCAAGATTTCATCTAGGGTTAGAATTGTCTCATTTTTTCCCCTACATGTATTTTATTTTAGAAAGTAGTTTTCTACATCTGATGTATAGGTCACCATTGCTGTAGAATGAAGATTTTTTTTTTTTTGGCCTTTGGATGATTATGTAGCACGAAAATGGAGTGTCGGATTTATGGCTTATGTTGCTAGTTGTATTGTGTACCACAGCCTTAGTGAGCTGAGATGTTACCATTTGAAAATTGAACTGGCTCAGTTTGTCCTCTCCACAAAGTAGTGGGTGGTTGGTGTTCCATAGGGTTCAAATTCCCTCAAAATCCGTTTAGTACATGGACATTTTAATTGTTTTCTAATTTCTTTTTATTGTAATCAATTTGCTGAATATTTGAAAACCCAATGTAAGGATTAGTAAACCAATGTTGGAATTCTCATATTGTTCACTCAATATATTTCAAGAGCTGTAGATCTGGAGATTATAAAAATAATTGACTTTCAAATATATATTATTATCATTATGTGAATGGATTGTGGTGATGGATGAGGGAAAATTTTAAAAGACATTTGTCATCTGAATTTTTGGGGTTTTACACTTGCAGTGATTTTTCATCGTCATAGAATTCTTTATCAACCCCTGAAATGAGATGCTATTTTTGAGAAGCCTAGCTCTTCTTTGATCATGACCGGTTGTTACCTTCGTAATTATTTTGATCCATGAACATCACTTTTTAGTTTCGACCTCTACTTTCGTTGGGTTATTCTATTTATTTTGCTAGGACCAATAAACTTTCAAAATTTTTAGACTATTTACAAAATTAATAGGTTTTAATTTTTCCCCTTTAATTTCTTTTACCGAGAGCTTTAATGATGAAGAAAACTTGTAAAAATTTAATATGATTTATTAATAAGATTAAAAAGTTTGTCTTATGAATAGTATTGAAGGGAGTATTTCATGGTGTTCATGTCGTTGTTTTCCAAAGGATGCAGCTTGAGGTTTTCTTTCAGTTTACTGATGCAGAGCATCATAAATGGTCATAATCGTTATATATTTGGGGTCCATTTAAATTTTAATTAGATATAATTAATTATGAAAATATTAATTAATATGATTGATTTTAATTATAATTGATTATTTTATAATGCAATTTATTTGGATATAATTTTTCTGAAATTTATTTCAATAGAATTGAAGTTATTTTAATGATTTAGTCAAAATTAATTTTAACTGTTCAAATTATCATAAATGATGTTACTTTTCAAAATTAACTTGTTAATAAAATTGTATATAATATTATTAAATTTTTTTAAATTTATTTAAGAAGTAAAATATATTATTTAACTTACATATTTGATCAATTATCGAAATTTAAATTATATTAATATTAACAATTTAATTTACGTAAATAATAACTCAATATATCTGAGTGCAAATAAATTTAATAAAAGAGAAAGATATAATTCTTAAATACTAAATATTAATTTTATAATAACTAATGAAAATAATAATATATAAGTTGATATTTAATAACATCACGGATATGAGTCATACCTAATGAAGATGTTATGGAATGATGAAAAGATGAACATTCATAAATGTGATGATCTATCTCATATTCTATTTAATCTTTTCTCTCATGATGCATAAAATCAAAATCAAAATCAAATTGTCTTCTAATAAAATTATGTATTGTCATTGTTGCAACAACGATTTGAACTTGTATAACATAGTTATAACTAGGCATATTGCGTAAAATATGCAAATTTATTCTTTCAAACTCCAAACGTTCGTTTTATTATGCATCATAAACTTGAATGAAAAACAACGGGAGTTGGTTGAGTGATAAGCGGCTCGATGCTGCTTAAGCAAGGTCTCGAGTTCGAGCCTTGTGTATGCAAAAAATTCTCATTGGGAGACTTACCCACCATGCCAGGTGCGCGACGTGGGTCGGATCCGAATGTAGTCAAGGCAAAACTTCGGTGAACTGGGTGGGCTACCAAAAAAAAAAAAACTTGAATGAAAAAAATTAAAGACCTTATTAATTTTTTTCTTGGGACAAAGATTAGTGAGCTTACTGGTAAATAAAACTTGATATGAAACTATGTAGATGTCCATCGCATAATGATTCAAATCCTTTTGCGAATTGCATTCGTTGCATTACTTGTTGAAGAAATTCCCAGCAGGCTTTATTGCATGTCTCCGCAATATCAAATATTAAAGAAAATCAACCCACCATTGCTCCTCTCGTACTATGAAGTTTACTCAAATTTAAGACATTAAACGGATTAACAAGTCTATAATCTCGTATTGAGACAAGAGTACGGAAATTATTAGAAATTAGAATGATCAAATGTCTATTAAGTTTTTTAAGAAAGTATCAAAATCGTGCCAATCAAACCCAAAGTGCTTGGGGATTGGGATTTAGGGAACAACATTATATCGATTTTTTATTTTTTTTATTTTACATATTAGACCATTTAAACCCATTGAAACTTAGATTAAACCACACGCATATCAAAAAACAGAAAGCAGAAACGCTTAATAATACAAAGGACAGAAACAATGGGCAATTAAATGGAACCCATTCCTACGGTGTTCCAAAGAATTAAAATTCTATCATGAAGTCCAGAGATGGAAGAGAGCAACGTGGCAGCCTGGCATTGCATTGGCAGCATGCAAACTCTCTGACGTGGCTCTCACTCAGCCTCATTCTTCTCTGCTTCCCCACCATCATCCATATCACATATATGATATGTCCAAATCCTACCCATTCGCCGTCTGATAACTCGATCAAAAACTCAACGTCTCTCTGTCGTTTACCTTCCCTCCCTCGAATACGCGGCACGCCGTTTGCGTCCCCCTCTGCCACCTGTCCATCCTCTTCCCCTATATACAAACAAACCAGCCTCTCGCTTGTTTACTCCCAGCAAGCACGAGCAGCTTCGTCGATCATGGCGTCATTGATGAACTCATGGGCCTTCTTCATCCTTCTGATCTCCCTCCTGTTTACGCCTTCTTATGCTAATAGAGGACCCCTTGTGGGAGGGAAGACTGACATTCCGGACGTCAAGTCCAACAGCGAGGTGCAGAGCTGGGCAGATTTTCGGTGAAGGAGTACAACCGCAGCTTGAGACTGTGGCGGAATCCGCCGGACGAGCCGCTGGAGTTCAGACGAGTGGTGGAGGCACAGAGGCAAGTGGTGTCGGGGATAAAGTACTACCTCAAGATCTCGGCGTCGCAGAACAGGAGAGAGAGGATGTTCGATTCGGAGGTGGTGGTCAAGCCTTGGCTTCATTCCAAGCAGCTCCTTCACTTTGCTCGTTCTCGTTCCAGTACAAATCTCAACTAGATAGCAAAAAGACTCATCCTTTCAAGTTTCAGGCGCTCATCAACAAATACTGGAAACTTCAAGGCCAGGTTCGGATTGTACAATATTATGGGAATTACTTTCTGATATACTTTCGGTCAACCTCAGATCTGGAATCCTCAAGGACTGTCATAGTTCTACAGAAATGGTGTCATTTTTCGCTACTATAAAAAATTTAGAATAGCCCATGTGCCAATATGCTCTCATGCAACTTGTCTGCCAATGGATCTTTTCACATTTGGCATAGTGCAAACGATTGGAGAAGCTCTTGGTTCTTTCTTGCAGTTTGATGAAGGCAGCTTATAATATGGTTTATGGTTTTGGAGTCATTTTCAATTTAGAAATGAGCCTTCCTTTACAAGTTAGAGGAATAATTTCATAGCCAGCAGGTTGTTACGAAAGAGTTGTTTGGATATGTTTCAATTTACAGAGAGTTTTGGGCATGTTTAGTAGTGTTGTTTCCATCAACGTTCATGGTTTACAACTTTTACTTCAGGATCCATTCATGTTTGTGGCTCAGTTTTTCTGTCGAGTTGGCTATTTAAGTTTTTACCTCTATATAGTATTTTTTTTTAAAAAAACAAATTAGAGGAGCTTTGTTGCTCTTTTCAACGTGTAATATTAATAAAAATATGTGGAACATTAACTTGTATATAATAACTCAGCAAGTGTCTTTTGTTTAGGAAAAAAGAAAATAATATTTGAAGCAAAATTTTTGGAGGGAAATTTAAGAACATGCAAACGAAGCAAGCTGATGTCATCTACTCATCGAGACCGGCATATTTTGCTTTCAACTTTTTTCCCCCAAAAGCTTTCAATTTCACTAACTTCACATATTAAACAACTAATAAATTAAAATGAAAAACAACAGGAAAATACCCATCCCAGGGAAAAAAAATAAAAAAACCTAAGGAGGGTATAGAGTTCTGAAAAAAGATCATTATCAGATATAATAAATTAACAGAAGAAAAGAAATTATGTAAAACATTTTACAACCATCATCATAGATGCTGTAGAAGGAATAGTACTTAAAAGCTAAAACAGTATGATTATATAGATATATATATATATAAGATGTTTGGATTACTCAATTGTTTGCTTATATGAAATGAGAACTTGGACTTTATGGGTATGATTCTCATTAGAAGAATGTGAAATTCATTTAGAAAAGGCTAGATTTTAAACGCGTTCATAGATCTGCATTGCTTTTGTTCAAGTGTAAAATTAAATCAAATCAAGCCAATCAGTTCATACATTAGAATACTAATTTAATTTTAACATGCAAACTATCTATTGTAACATTATGATACTGATCTTTCAAATTTTACATCATCTTTACACTCTGCATATTTCTTTCTGCTACAATTAGTATCTCCTACAATGTCTATACATCTGATGCACCTACATCACAACTTTTAAAAGCCATATAGTGTACAACTAGCTACAGAGTCAATAAAAATTTATCAAGGCGGATGTATAAGTACCTTCCACTATCTAAAACACTCACTAATTGAGTTTTCATGCAACTCACTTGTATAGCCAACTTATAAACTAGATGTACTCAAAAGTTTGTACTACATTACAGAGAAATCTTCATCAAGCCCTTCTATTTCTCCTCTAAGTTTGTGCTGCTGGATTATCAAAACAGAGACGTTCATAGAGAATTCTGGTCCTGAAAGAACATCTCCAATTGGTCCTAATTCTGGACATTGTTGCCAATCATTCATCCCTTTTGTTAAAATAGAGTTCACTCCTCCTCCTCTCCCCACAATCACAAGTGAATATTGACCCTCAAATGACCTTAGAGTAGAGAAGGTCTCTGCTGAATTTGCAAGATGCTTCTCCATGTACGAAATCCGACCTCCAACCACTTGTCTTTCATAGAATTGCGCGAAGTACTCGTCATCTAGCTGGATTTCTTCCTCCTCCTTCACTGAAGGGACCTTGTGGCCTGCATATATTAAGACATCTGAACCAGTATCTACCAGAAACCTTATCACTGTGAGTTTAATTCCTGGATGCTTTGATACTCTAGTAGCATAGGCCAAAGCTTCTCTATCATCTTGTCC